AGAGTCCTCACCCTGAGTCCTCACCCAGAGCCCTCACCCACAAGTTCCTCACCCAGAGCCCTCACCCTGAGCCCTCACCCAGAGCCCTCACCCAGAGCCCTCACCCAGAGCCCTCACCCAGAGTCCTCACCCAGAGCCCTCACCCAGAGTCCTCACCCCAAATCCTCACCCCGAGTCCTCACCCAGAGTCCTCACCCTGAGTCCTCACCCAGAGCCCTCACCCAGAGCCCTCACCCCCAGATCCTCACCCCAGAGCCCTCACCCCCAGGTCCTCACCCAGAGCCCTCACCCCCAAGTCCTCACCCAGAGCCCTCACCCTGAGCCCTCACCCAGAGCCCTCACCCAGAGCCCTCACCCAGAGTCCTCACCCAGAGCCCTCACCCCGAGTTCTCACCTCGAGTCCTCACCCAGAGCCCTCACCCCCAGGTCCTCACCCAGAGTCCTCACCCCCAGGTCCTCACCCAGAGTCCTCACCCCCAAGTCCTTACTGAATTCTCACCTCGAGTCCTTACCCTGAGCCCTCACCCCCGAGTCCCGAATAATCCACACATCCTCATCATCATGGTGCCGATGACGATGAAGATGGTGACGATGATGACGATGATGATGACAACACCGTAGCAGTCGTTAATGACATCAATGACAGTGATGATGTCACAATTGATAACGATGATGATGACGACGATGATGATGACGATGATGACGACGATGATGACGACGTTGATGACGACGATGATGATCTTGACACTGATGATGACAATGATGACGACGTTGATGACGACGTTGATGATGATGATGACGATGATGATGACAACACCGTAGCAGTCGTTAATGACATCAATGACAGTGATGATGTCACAATTGATGACGATGACGACGTTGATTCGCAGGCACCACGTGGTGGACGTGAACGTGGCGGTGAGCACCTCGTTTGGCCTCATCACACCGATCGTCTTCAACGCGCACCACAAGGGCCTCGCCACCATCAGCCGCGACGTCACCGCCCTGGCCGCACGGGCACGCGACGGCAAACTCCAGCCCCACGAGTTCCAGGTGACGACGACGATGACGATGATGATGACGATGATGAAGATGATGACGACGATGATGACGATGATGATAACTACGATGATGACCACTTCGATGATGACGATGATGATGATGACGATGATGATGATGACGATTGTGATGATGATGACGACGATTGTGATGATGACGAGTATGATGGCGATGACTACGATAATGATGACGACTTTGATGATGATGATGACGACGACGATTGTGATGATGACGAGTATGATGATGATGATGACGACTTTGATGATGATGATGATGACGATTGTGATGATGACGACTTTTATGATGATGACGACGATTGTGATGATGACGAGTATGATGATGATGACTACGATGATGATGACGACTTTGATGATGATGATGATGACGACGATTGTGATGATGACGAGTATGATGATGATGACTACGATGATGATGACGACTTTGATGATGATGATGATGACGACGATTGTGATGATGACGAGTATGATGATGATGACTACGATGATGATGACGACTTTGATGATGATGACGATTGTGATGATGACGAGTATGATGATGATGATGACTACGATGATGATGACGACTTTGATGATGATGACGATTGTGATGATGACGAGTATGATGATGATGGCTACGATGATGATGACGACTTTGATGATGATTTTTGATGATGACGACGATTGTGATGACGACGATTGTGATGATGATGACTACGATGATGATGACGACTTTGATGATGATGATGACGACGATTGTGATGATGACGAGTATGATGATGATGACTACGATTATGATGACGACTTTGATGATGATGATGACGACGACGATTGTGATGATGACTACGATGATGATGATGACTACGATGATGATGACGACTTTGATGATGATGATGATGACGACGATTGTGATGATGACGAGTATGATGATGATGACTACAATGATGATGACGACTTTGATGATGATGATGATGACGACGATTGTGATGATGACGAGTATGATGATGATGACTACGATGATGATGACGACTTTGATGATGATGACGACGATTGTGATGATGACGAGTATGATGATGATGATGACTACGATGATGACGACGACTTTGATGATGACGAGTATGATGATGATGACGAGTATGATGATTATGACTACGATGATGATGTACTACGATGATGATGACGACTTTGATGATTATGATGATGATGACGACGATTGTGATGATGGCGAGTATGATGATGATGACTACGATGATGATGACGACTTTGATGATGATGATGATGACGATTGTGATGATGACGAGGATGATGATGATGATGACTATGATGACTATGATGATGATGACGACTTTGATGATGATGACGACGATTGTGATGATGACGAGTATGATGATGATGACGAGTATGATGATGATGACTACGATGATGATGACTACGATGTTGATGACGACTTTGATGATGATGATGATGACGACGATTGTGATGATGACGAGTATGATGATGATGACTACGATGATGATGACGACTTTGATGATGACGATTGTGATGATGACGAGTATGATGATGATGATGACTACGATGATGATGACGACTTTGATGATGATGACGATTGTGATGATGACGAGTATGATGATGATGGCTACGATGATGATGACGACGATTGTGATGACGACGATTGTGATGATGATGACTACGATGATGATGACGACTTTGATGATGATGATGATGATGACGACGATTGTGATGATGACGAGTATGATGATGATGACTACGATGATGATGACGACTTTGATGATGATGATGATGACGACGACGATTGTGATGATGACTACGATGATGATGATGACTACGATGATGATGACGACTTTGATGATGATGATGATGACGATTGTGATGATGACGAGTATGATGATGATGACTACAATGATGATGACGACTTTGATGATGATGATGATGACGACGATTGTGATGATGACGAGTATGATGATGATGACTACGATGATGATGACGACTTTGATGATGATGATTGTAATGATGACGAGTATGATGGTGATGATGACTACGATGATGATGACGACTTTGATGATGATGACGACGATTGTGATGATGACGAGTATGATGATGATGATGACTACGATGATGACGACGACTTTGATGATGACGAGTATGATGATGATGACGAGTATGATGATTATGACTACGATGATGATGACTACGATGATGATGACGACTTTGATGATTATGATGATGATGATGACGACGATTGTGATGATGGCGAGTATGATGATGATGACTACGATGATGATGACGACTTTGATGATGACGACGATTGTGATGATGACGAGTGATGATGATGATGATGGACTATGATGACTATGATGATGATGACGAGTATGATGATGATGACGAGTGATGATGAATGACTACGATGTTGATGACGACTTGATGAGTATGATGATGATGACGACGATTGTGATGCTGACGAGTATGATGACGATTACTACGATGATGATGACGACTTTGATGATGATGATTATGACGACGATTGTGATGATGATGACTATGATGATGATGACGACTTTGATGATGATGATGATGACGACGATTGTGATGATGACGAGTATGATGATGATGACTACGATGACGACGACTTTGATGATTATGATGATGATGACGACGATTGTGATGATGACGAGTATGATGATGATGACTACGATGATGATGACGACTTTGATGATGATGATGACGGACGATTGTGATGATGACGAGTATGATGACGATGACTACGATGATGATGACGACTTTGATGATGATGGTGATGACGACGATTGTGATGACGACGAGTATGATGACGATGACTACGATGATGACGACGATGATAACTACGATGATGACGACTTCGATGATGACGATGATGAGATGATGATGACGTTTGTGATGATGATGACGACGATTGTGATTATGACGAGTATGATGATGATGACTACGATGATGATGACGACTTTGATGATGACGACGTTGATGATTGATGACGATGACGCGATGAAGACGACGATGATGATGACGACGACGACCGTTGATTTAACACGTAGGCTTTCGCGACCAATATCCATAATACAGGGGGGTTTTTTTGGGCTAGCTCGCGAAAATATAAATGTGGCGTTAAACCCCGCCACCACCCAACACAGCCAATTAGTAGGTTTAGTGTCACGTCAACACAGCTAGCAAATTCGTCACCAGTACAGCAGTAACAGGTGTGTCGGAGGGGCAAATCCACAACATTTACAATCTGAGTGCGGCGTTTCGGCAGCAATTACAACCAGCTTCATCAGGCCCACAGCCACATTTGGTGTGAGTGAGTGTGAGCAATATACGGAGTGTGAGTGAGTGTGCGCAATATACGGAGTGCGAGTGAGTGTGAGCAATATACGGAGTGTGAGTGAGCCCTTGCGTGGAGTTTGACTGCTCTCCATCCTGCGCTGTATGGGTTTCCTGCAGGTTCTCCTGTTCCCTCCCACAGCTAAAAACACACATGCCGACATTAACAGACTGTTGGGGCACGTGCTGTTAGCGAGCACCTATGAAGGACGGAACAGTACGGCAAGGTGTGGGTGACCAGCACGACCGCCTTTGTCTCCCCGGTGGCGATGTTTACACACCGCACCGGGTAATCATTTGGGGCTGAGTCGACCTAGGGGAGGACCGGGACCGGTTCAGATAATCGTGACTGGGTGTTGGCCGTGAGCGGGAATCGAACCCGGCTCGCGCAGCGCGCTAACCGCCTACACCGCCGCTCCCCACTCACTCACACACACACAGCCTAACTGGTGTTGCCCAAACACATCGCAAAGCTGCAAAATTTCACGCAGATTATTAAGTGGGGATCACGCAGCAGCAGCAGCAGCAGCAACAACATCGAGCCCCTGCTGCGAAAAAATACTTGGCAGGACCCTCGTGAAAAACAATCTTGAGATTCGGTGACGGTGGTGGTGGTGGTGACGATGGTAGTGGTGGTGGCGGTGGCAGTGGTGGCAGTGGTGGTGGCGGTGGTGGTGGCGGTGATGGTGGTGGTGGCGGTGTTGGTGCATTGTTATGAGTTTGTGGTGCGGTGCCGTCGCAGGGAGGAACCATCACCATTTCGAACCTCGGCATGTTCGGCATCAAGAACTTCTCGGCCATCATCAACCCCCCTCAGGCGTGCATCCTGGCCGTGGGGGGCACCGAGAAGAGACTGCTGCCAGCCGACAATGAGAAAGGGTGAGCGCATTGGTGTGTGAGCGTGTGTAAGCGTGTGTGTGTGCGTGAGTGTGCGTGAGTGTGTGTGAGTGTGTGTGCGTGTGTGCGTGTGTGTGTGCGTGTGTGAGGTAGGGGGTTGTCCGGCAAAACAACCCCCTACCTCCTCGCGGTGCCGGACGGGCAACTCTGTCGTGGACAGTGCTGTGGGGGGAGATCCAATTTTGATTGGCTCCTCCCCTCATGGCATATGTGTCCACCACAGGGGCTAAACGGGGGCTCTGGACGGGTGCGAAGGGCTGGTAACCCCTCCACCTTCAATTAATTACCACGAAACCACGAGTTAAACTGAAATATGTAACTAATAAGCTTGTGCCGGAGGCCTCGGGGGGCCAGGCGTCTATGACGTCTCCTGGCCAAACCCCAATTGGCGGAGCCAGGAGATTGAATACCTACTCTCGGGGCTACTCCAGAAACAACGAAAAGCCACTACGGGTGGCCACGTGGAATGTTCGAACGCTCACTGCGGAGGAGAGGCTGCCACTCCTCTGTCGGGAGCTGGACCGGTACCGCCTGGATCTATGCGGCTTTCAGGAGGTCCGGTGGACCGGCTCTGGCTCCTGCCACCATGAGGGGTGTACAGTCCTCTACTCGGGGCAGCAGACTGCCAAACAACAGGGTGTGGCTCTTCTTTTGAACCAAAGAATGAAGGGGGCGTGGGAGCGTGGCGGTGAGGTGTGGGAAGCTGTAAGCCCCAGGCTACTTTGGGCTCGCCTTCCCATCAACCGGAGGCGAGGAATGGTGGTCGTGGTTACTTATGCCCCCACCGAAGATGAACATCCGTGGAGGGATGCAGGCAAAGCCGATGAGTCAGATGCCTTCTATGACCTGTCACAGGTGCTGGCTAAAGTGGCCCCTCGGGATAGAGTCATCATGTTGGGTGACTTCAATGCCCGAGTTGATCATGATACTGGCACCTGGTCTGGAGTGATTGGAGGGCATGGGCCAGATCAGCTCAATAACAACGGTAGGAGGCTGCTAGATTTTTGTGCAGCCCATGGGCTTGTAATTACCAACATGCTGTTCCGGCATCGGCGCATCCACACAACATCATGGATGCATGCCGGGTCCAAGCAAGAACATCTGCTGGACTACATAGTGACGGACCAGCGAATGCGAGCCCATGTCCTTGACACCAGGACCTACCGTGGAGCTGATCTGCCCTCTGACCATCGACTAGTCATCTGTAAGATGCGCCTGCCATTCTTCCACTCTGGTAGTGGGTGTACACCCAGGACCCCATTCCGACCTAAAGTGGCCTGGTCTCAGTTATCTGATGAAAGTTGCAAGCGAGAATTTCATCATCGCTTGCGGCTGGGATTGGCATCGTCCCCGACTCCTCCTGATGTCGAGGGTAAATGGGCGAGGTTTAGGACTGTGACTCATGCAGCTGCAATGGCTGCTTTAGGTACGTGGTCCAGACCTCCCCAGAGACCCTGGCTGACAGAGGAGGTGTTCAGGATGGTTGAGAAAAAGCGACAGGCCCACTGTCATCGGCTACAGAATCCCACGTCAGAGAATGAGGAGGCTTACCGCAGCCTTCGCTCGGAGGTTCGGAGAGCCGTGAGGCGCTGCAAGGATGGGTGGTGGTCGCGGGTTGCTGAGGAGATGGAGTCTGCCTCAGTGGCCCGTTATCACAAATCTCTATTTAACTCCATCAAAAAAGTAACCTGCAGTGCCACACCTATTACCATCATTAGGGGAAAAAACGGTGATCCAATCTCCGACCCCCAGGAACAGGTTTGCAGATTTGCTGAGCATTTCTGTGAGGTCCTGGGGGAGGGAAAATCCCTCAGCCAGGAAAACATCGTGGCACAAAGTGAGGATGACCCTGCTGAGGCTGCGGTGCCTCAAATATTGGAAGAAGTCACCCCCTGTGAGTGGCTGGCTGAGGTGCCATCTGTTGAGGAAGTACTTAAGGCGATCCGGATTCTGAGACTAGGAAAGGCAGCGGGCAGAGATGATCTCCCAAGCGAAATGCTGAGGGAGGGTGGCGTTTGTGCACAGACTGCCCTATATGACATCATAACAACAGTCTGGACCACTGGACGGGTTCCGCAGGATTGGAAGGATGCCCTGGTGGTCCCCCTTTTTAAGAAGGGGGACCGCACAGACTGTAACAACTACAGGGGCATCTCACTCCTCAGTGTGCCGGGAAAGGTCCTGGCAAGGATTATTCAGCCTCGCCTTGCCAGGCTGGCTGAGGAGAGGCTTGCGGAGCCCCAATGCGGTTTCAGGAAAGGGCGGTCCTGCACAGATGCCATATTTTCTGTCCGTCTGCTACAGCAGAGGTGTAGGGAATTCCAAAAAGACCTACATCTCTGCTTTATTGACCTGGTCAAGGCCTATGATACCATCAGTAGGCCTGGGCTCTGGGTCGTTCTTCGTGCTTTTGGAGTACCTGACCCTCTGCTCACGATCATTAAGGACCTTCATGATGGTGAGCGGGCCCGAGTAGAACTACGTGGCCGGGAGTCAGAGCCATTCCCTGTACACCTTGGGGTGCGACAGGGATGTCCTCTGGCTCCCACATTATTTATCATCTATTTTGACCACGTAGTTCGTGAAGCCTTCAATAGCTGTACCGGGGGAATCTCCATATGGTACAGATATAATGGGAGGCTGATCGATGCCCGGGTGCGGTCAAGGGATGGCTCCCTATTGCTCAACCATGTTATGTATGCCGATGATTTGGTAATAGCTGCTCATTCAGAGGAGGAGTTGGAGACGCTGCTGCTGAGACTGGAGCGTGCAACTAAGAGATGGGGCCTTACCATCAGCCCCACCAAAACTAAGCACCTGCCTGGGTATTTTGTACCATCGGACACTCCACCCCCACAACTCCCAACCGGTGATGGGGCAGTTGTGGAGAGAGTGGAGAGTTTCCCATACCTGGGCAGTGTGCTTATGACTGACTCCAGTTTAACAGCAGAGGTCTCACTCCGAATCAGTCGAGCGGCAATATCTTTTCATGGGTTGCGTAACGCTGTGTGGAAGCTACCTGGTCTGTCGCTCCGCACTAAGCTTCAGGTCTTCTCAGCCACGGTCATTCCCTCACTTCTCTACGCTTGCGAAACGTGGACCCCCCTAATGGAACATCTTCGCCGGTTAGAAACATTTAGGCTTTCCTGCCTACGATCCATCCTGTGTTTAACCAGACTGGATTGTGTGAGGAGCTCACAAATCCTTGAAAGATCTGGGCAAGGTCCCATCGGTGAGCTCCTCCGGCGGGCAAGGCTGCGATGGCTGGGTCATGTAGCCCGCATGCCCAGCCACCAGCATGCCGAAACAGCTTTTGTTCGGCCGGATTGAGGGGGCTAAGCGGGCGCGGCACGGGCTAGAGAAGAGATGGAGTGATGTAGTACAGGAGGACGTGGAGCTGAGTGGACTTCCCGATGACTGGTACCAGCGGTGTCAAGATCGGCCTCTGTGGAGGAGGCACGTGAAGGATGCTACTGGGCAGTTGGAGGTAGTCGCCCTCCAACAACAACGGAGGGCGGAGGAGCGACGCTCAGAACAACGAGCGGAGCGCCGGGTGGCTAGAGCACAGCAAGTTGGCACAGTCGGGGGCACAGGTGGTGCATCAGCCAGTCATGTCAGTCAGTCGACCCGTGGCACCTGGGTCTGCCCCGTGACCTCCTGCCAGCGGGCGTTCGACACTTCACGTGGCCTCAGGGTGCACATAGCCTGGCACAAGCGTCGTGGTGACGTCACCGCCACTTAGTGGCGAATGGCAGGTTGTTGTTGTTGTGTGTGAGCGCGTGTGAGCGTATGTGAGCGTGAGTGTGTGCGTGTGAGCGTGTGCGTGTGTGTGAGCGTGTGTGAGCGTGTGTGTGAGCGTGTGCGAGCGTGTGTGTGTGTGAGTGTGTGTAGTGAGCGCGTGTGTGAGCATGTGTGTGAGCGTGTGTGTGTGTGAGTGAGCGTGTGTGTGTGTGAGCGTGTGTGTGAGCGTGTGTGAGTGTATGTGTGAGTGTGTGTGTGAGTGTGTGTGTGTGAGCGTGTGTGAGCGCGTGTGTGAGCGTGTGTGAGTGTGCGAGCTTGTGTGTGAGCGTGTGTGAGTGTGTGTGTGAGTGTGTGTGTGAGCGTGTGTGTGAGCGTGTGTGCGAGCGTGTGTGTGAGCGTGTGTGAGCGTGTGTGAGCGTGTGTGAGCGCGTGTGTGAGCGTGTGTGAGCGTGTGTGTGAGCGTGTGTGAGCGTGTGTGTGAGTGTGTGTGAGCGTGTGTGTGTGAACGCGTGTGTGAGCGCGTGTGTGAGCGTGTGTGTGAGCGTGTGTGAGCGTGTGTGTGAGTGTGTGTGTGAGCGTGTGTGAGCGTGTGTGTGAGCGTGTGCGAGCGTGTGTGTGAGTGTGTGTGTGAGCGCGTGTGTGAGCGCGTGTGTGAGCGTGTGTGTGTGAGCGTCTGTGAGCGTGCGTGAGCGTGTGTGTGAGCGTGTGTGAGCGTGTGTGTGAGCGTGTGTGAGCACGTGTGTGAGCGCGTGTGTGAGCGTTTGTGTGAGCGTGTGTGAGCGTGTGTGAGTGTGTGTGAGCGTGTGAGCATGTGCGAGGGTGTGTGTGAGCGTGTGCGAGCGTGTTCGAGCGTGTTTGTGAGCGTGTGTGAGTGCGTGTGTGAGCGTGTTCGAGCGTGTTTGTGAGCGTGTGTGAGTGCGTGTGAGTGCGTGTGTGAGCGTGTGTGAGCGTGTGTGTGAGCGTGTGTGTGAGCGTGTGTGAGCGTGTGTGTGAGCGTGTGTGTGAGCGTGTGTGAGCGTGTGTGTGAGCGGCTCCGGTTTGGCAGCGGAGGTCTCGCTCCGAATCAGTCGAGCGGCAATATCTTTTCATCGGTTGCGTAACGCTGTGTGGAAGCTGCCTGGTCTGTCGCTCCACACGAAGCTTCGGGTCTTCTCGGCCACAGTCATTCCCTCCCTTCTCTACGCTTGCAAAACGTGGGCCCCTCCAATGTAACATCTGCGCCGTTTAGAAACATTCAGGCCGGCCTGCCTACGATCCATCACCGCGCGCCGTGTCACTGTGTGTGGTGTCGCAGCTTCGTGGTGGCGAGCGTCATGTCGGTGACCCTGAGCTGTGACCACCGCGTTGTGGATGGAGCCGTCGGCGCCCAGTGGCTGGCTGAGTTCCGCAAGTTCCTGGAGCGGCCCAGCACCATGCTGCTGTGAGTGGCACCACCACCGCCACCACCACCTCCACCTCCTCCTCCTCCTCGATCGTCTTCCTCATCGTCGTCCTCCTGGCACCTGCTACTGAACCCTCTCTCTCCGCTTGCCCCCCGCCCTGGTGGCTGCATCTCACGAACTACAACGACAACAACGACAGCTGCCGTAACAGCTGCTGCTGCTAAAGCTACTCCGCAATCAACGTCTACGGGACGTCACCCGACACTCGGTCCGCGCGCACAACCCCACCCCCCCCAACTCCTCTTCGTCCTCGGCTTCAGCATCGTCGTCGCTTTAGTGCGTGACGTTGCACCGCGCCTCCTCGCCCACGCCCTGGATTTGCTGACAAGAACCGTGGTGCACGGCGTCGATGGGGCGGAGGGGGGTGGGTCAGGGGTGGAGGCAGAGGAAAGCCCCCCCCCCCCCCCCCCCCCAAGCTGTACGTGGTGTGGTAGTGACCGACTGCTAGGGCCGTTAAACAGCTGTTAACAGCTGTGCCTCTCTCTTCCAACAGCTGTATGCCTCGTTCACGGCTGTCTCCTTAACAGCTGTTGAAGAGACAGCTGTTACCGAGTAAGGACTGCGCCTCTGGTGGTCTCATTGACGGCTGTGTCTCGGTAACAGCTGTGCATGAGACGCAGCTGTTACCGAGTAAGGGCCGTGTCTCGTTAACCGCTTGCTAACGCAAGCCGGCGTTGGTGCTAAACAACACGAGAACAAGCAGTTCTGAAAGAAGTGTTGTTTTCAATCTAGGCCATTTAATAGCAGCAGTGGACACTCACCGAGCGGTCCATTCTCTAGAAGCCGGTCTTCGCTGCTCAGCGAGCCGCGCACCTTCCAGTCGCTCGCTCGGCAATTGCGGTTGCCTTTAAACGGCGACAAATAACAACAAACAACAACAAGACAAAGTTGCTTGACTCGAATCGCGAGGCCCGGATCGTTGCAGCTTTCTGAACAGGCAGCCGCGGCCGCGACGGCGTTCAGTTATCGCTCGTAGGTCTGTACGTGTTTACGTATGTTGGGAACTTCCTTCGCGCCATATGTAAGCCAACCGCGCTAATCGGAGGTGCGGGCGGGGGCGGTGGGGGCGGTGGGGGGGCGAGGTGAGGGGAAGGACTAATAATTAAATGCAACAACAAAACAGTTCTTGAAGAAACGTTGAACTTCTTTTCGCACCGTACGTAAGCCCGACCCCCGCTAACCCGCTCCCCGCGGACGCCGTGGCCAGGAGTCCAACTTGGGCCCTGTGTGTGACTCTTTTGGGGGACAGAGCGCCGTGCCTCCCCCTCCCCTCTCCCGCCGGCAGGGAGTGATCGCAGTAGCTGGCGGACAGGGGATAGACCTCTCCCACCACCACCACCCCCCGCCCCCACCGTTTGCGTACGGAGAGACCTCAGCTTCACCGGTTTTTGTCACCAGATTATTTAACATTTGATGCATTTTGAGGAATTTCCCCCCCTCCTTGTATTGTGGTTATTATCGTTGTCGTAAACCAGTGGTTCTTAAACCTTTACTCTGCGGCCTTGGCGGCACCCACCCACCCTTTGGTTCTCGGTCATTCAAAAAGTTCCTTGTTAGTAAATACATGGGGGGTTGATGAAACAGGTGGAAAATGGAACCTTTTTGGCAATAATCAACGTGTGAGAAAATAAGAGTAGATTTTGCGCTTTGCTGGCAATAAAGACAGGAGCTGTGTTAAGATGTTCAAACACCGAACAGAGGAAACATTTTGCAAGCAATCGAGTAGCTGCATTAACCACACACACACGGTACTCGTGCTGAACATGCAAACAAACATGGCTCTGATCATATTAGATGCATTGTCTTTGAAACTGATTGGCCCACACCTGGATTCCTTGCGAAAGATTTCTGTTTTGCAAGGAATCAATAGGGGGCGGCGTGATGCACCCCAGGTTAAGAAGAACCACGAATCTGGCTGTCTCCCGATGAAGCTGGTGGCAGTTACTGGCGAAGCGTCGTACTCGGATTGTAAATGTTGTGGCTTGGCTCTCCGACACACCGGCGTGCTGTACTAGTGACGAATTGGCCACGTTCTGTTTACGTGACAACCCTTTACTAGTTGGCTGTGTCGGGCGGTGGCGGGTTTTAACGACACAACATTTATATATTTACGCGGTCCGACCCTAACAAATCCGTATTGTGGATTATATTAATCGCGAAAGCCTGCTAACGTGTTAGGAAGAGCCACTGGTTTTGAGGCATTCACCCGTTTGTATTATTATTGTTGTCATCATTATCATTGTTGTTGTCTTAAATGATTGGGTGGTGAGAGGTGTGTGTCCCCCCCCTGCCCCGGGGTGGGATCGTCAAAGCGACTACGCCAATCGGGGGGGGAGGGGTGGTGGTGGTGGCGGGGTTCGTTCTGCTTCTTGATTGCACGGTGATGCCCAGATGTCTCTTTATCTTGGGTGGTGGGGGGTTTTCAAAGAGGGGATATTGATTATCCAAGCCGCTTAAGCCAGCACTCCATAGTCGTGTCATCACACAAAGACAAAGATCCCCCGTGTCGCCTTAACAGACTGTAGGGGCAATTGCTGTTAGCGAGCACCTATGAAGGCCGGAACGGTACACGAGGTGGGTGGGAGGCCCGGGACCGGTTCAGATAATCGTCACCGGTGTTGGCCGTGAGCGGTAATCGAACCCGGATCGCCGGGTTCACAGCGCAGCGTAGCGCTAACCGCTACACTACGGATCCCCACATCATCATGTCATGACGCGCACACACACACGCACATACAAGCATCCCCCTCCCACCCCGTATAGCTTTGTAACAGAAACAGAATGGTGGGGGCAAGTGGCTGTGAGCGTCTTCACCAGACATCTGGACCACCACCACCAACCACAACTGGCAGATCCATCGCGTGAGTCGGAGGGAGACTTCCCCTAAATGGGGGGGGGGGGGGCGTGTTATCTAGCGGCCTATTAAGGCCGGCACGGCGCGTCAGAATGGGCATCTTTAGTTCCGGAAGAAAATCCGATGAGCCCTGAAGCTCTTCGAATGGGCCGGGCGAGCACCACCCCGGGCACCTTGGGGTGTCACGCATGCACCGCGCACCAACTCACTTGAGGTCGAGTCGAGCTAGGGGAGGGCTCGTGGACCGGTCGGTGCTGAGACGTCGCTAACGCCGCCGGCGCCGGCCGTGGACGGGAGTCGAACTCTGTCCTACGCCGGTCTCGTAGCGCCGCGAGGCGCTCTCACCGCTGCACCGCCGCTCCTCCACGCGCACACACACACACACAGATCCACCCGTGTGGCCACCAACAAGACTGTTGGGACAAGTGCTCTTGGCGAGTGGCAGCACCTATGAAGGCTGGCACGACACCACGAAGGGGGCAGGTGGCCAGCAAGACGCACGACCGCTTTTGTCTCCCCAGCGGCGATCTTTACACGGCGCTCGTTTGAGTCGACCTCGGGGAGGAGGCCCGGGGTCGGTTCGGATAATCGTCACCGGTGTTGGCCGTGAGCGGGAATCGGACTCGGGTCGCCGGGTTCGTAGCGCAGCGTAGCGCTGACCAGCTACGCCATCGCTCCACCACTCACTACCCACTACATACACATCACACATCACACACCACACATCACACCCATCACACACACACCACACATCACACCACACACGCGAGCAGAGACGCACAATAAATGTCTTGCCCCGTTGAAGACCTCAGAGCATGCGTTTGAAGTCTGAGTTCGACCCCTGGGGGGAGGGGAGGGGAGGGATTGCCCCTGGGCTCGGCGCGGTCTCGCCGGGCGTGCGTTTGTCGCGGCCTTGAATAAAGGAATTTGTCTGCCCCCGCAGCGTCCCGGGGAAACTTCACCGTCGTGAGACGCGAGAGAGTTGAGCGACGTTGAAGTCGGAACGAGTTTTGACCGCCGTGGATGGTGAGAAACACATTCTCCTGCGGAGGGAGCTGGTAGGAACGTTGGGTTGGCTCGGTCAATGGGCAGGGTCAACAACAACGGCGGCACCACCACGTGGTGTACTCCGCACAATATGCCCGACTGAGGGCGGGCACAAGCCGGTGTGAGAAGGTTAAACGTTGAGTTTGATAAGGGCACCACGGGGTGACCAGCCCCTCCCCACCCAGCCCCACCCCCCACCCTCCCCGCCCAGCCCCTCCCCACCAATCCCCTCCCCGCCCAGCCTTTCCCTCCCCACCCAGCCCCTCCCCACCCTCCCCTCTCCACCCAGCCCCACCCCTCCCATTTTTGGATGCACGACGGACGGACGCAATAATCCCCTGTGGGCCGGTGGTGTAACCAGGAGGTTCCTACCAGTAAGAGGGTTGCACGTAGAGGAAGACGAAGGCGACCTGGTGATGATGGTGATGCAGGCAGTGATGAGAAGGAAACTGGCACTATTTGGACACACACACACACACGTGTAGTAGGATGGACCACGGCAGGACAATTGAAAGTGTCGTTCGGAACAAATGAAAGGAACTGGAAAGAGATGACCTAACAGATTTGGCTTGAGAATCGTCAGAGATTGGTGCCAGAAACGTGTGGCACCGCTTGGACATATTGGCACTACAAGTGAGTGAGTGAGTAGGTGAGTGTGTGGGTATGTGAGTGAGTGAGTAGGTGAGTGTGTGTATGTGAGTGAGTGAGTAGGTGAGTGAATAGGGTGAGCGAGTTGTTGGGTGGGTGAGTGAGTGAGATGCAGTATGGTGGGTGAGTGCGTGATTGATGGGGTGAATGACCTGCAGTGTGGTAGGTGAGTGTGTGATAGATAGGGTGAGCGAGTGGTTGGGTGGGTGAGCAAGTGAGTGACCTTCAGTGTGGTGGGTGTGCGTGTGAGTGATAGGTGAGCGAGTGGTTGGGTGGTGAGTGTGTGATTGATTGGGTTAGTCTGTGAGTGATGGGGTGAGTGAGTGACCTTCAGTGTGGTGGGTGAGCGCTATGGGTGAGACAAAACAGTCCATCGGGTAGATTGAGCTCAGTATCCTTTTTGCCTCCCACGGTGTGACCCCAACCCACGGTGTGACCTTAACCCACGGTGCGACCCCAACCCACGGTGTGACCCCAACCCACGGTGTGACTCCAACCCACGGTGTGACCTCAACCCACGGTGTGACCCCAACCCACGGTGTGACCGCAACCCACGGTGTGATCTCAACCCACGGTGTGACCTCAACCCACGGTGTGACCCCAACCCACGGTTTGATCCCAACCCACGGTGTGACCCCAACCCACGGTGTGACCCCAACCCACGGTGTGACCCCAACCCACGGTGTGACCTCAACCCACCGTGGCTATAGAATGGCCAGAGGATCATCGTTGATGGACGAGGTCTGCTGAGGCTGCTGTGCCTCAAATATTGGAGGAAGAAGTCAACCCCTGTGAGTGGCTGGCTGAGGTCCCATCTGTTGAGGAAGCACTGAAGGCGATCCAGAGTCTGAGACCAGGAACGTCACCGGGCAGAGATGATCTCCTGAGCAAAATGCTGAGGGAGGGTGGCGTTTGTGCACAGACTGCCCTACACGACATCATAACAGTATGGACCACTGGACGGGTTCGGCAGGAATGGAAGGATGCCCTGGTGGTCCCCCTCTTTAAGAAGGGGACGGCACAGACTGTCACAACTACAGTGGCATCTCATTCCTCAGTGTACCGGGAAAGGCCCTGGCAAGGATTATTCAACATCGCCTTACCAGGCACGCCGGATGAGAGGCTTGCGGAGCCCCAATGCGGTTTCAGGAAAGGGCGGTCCTGCACAGATGCCATATTTTCTGTCCGTCTGCTACAGCAGAGGTGTAGGGAAATCCAACAAGACCTACATCTCTGCTTTATTGACATGGTCAGTAGGCCTAGGCTCTGGGTTCTTCGTGCTTTCGGAGTCCCTGACCCTCTGCTCACGATCATTAAGGACCTTCATGATGGTCAGTGGGCCCCCAGTAAAACTATGTGCCCGGGAGTCGGAGCCATTCCCTGTACACCTTGGGGTGCGACAGGGATGTCCTCTGGCTCCCACATTATTTAACATTCTTCGACCCCGTCTTGTGTGAAGCCTTGGATGGGTGTACAGGAGGAATTTCCATTTGGTACAAATACAATGGGAGGATGATCAATACCCGGGTGTGGTCAAGGGATGGCTCCCTATTGGTCAACCATGTTATGTATGCCGACGACCTGGTAACTGCTGCTCACTCAGAGGAGTTGGAGGCACTGCTGCTGAAACTGGAGCGTGCCACTAAAAGGTGGGGCCTGACCATCAGCCCCACCAAAACTAAGCATCTACCTGGGTATTGTACCATCGAACACTCCACCCCCACAACTCCCAATTGGTGATGGGGCAGTTGCGAAGAGAGTGGAGAGTTTCCCATACCTGGGCAGTGTGCTAATGACCGGCTCTGGTTTGACAGCAGAAGGCTCACTGAATCAGTCAAGTGGCATTATCTTTTCATTGGTTGTGTAATGCTGTGTGGAAGCTACCTGGTCTGTCACTCCACACGAATCTTCAGATCTTCTCGGCCAGTCATGCCCTCCCTTCTCTACGTTTGCGAAACGTGGACCCCCCTAATGTAACATCTTCACCGGTTAGAAACATTTCGGCTAGCCTGCCTACGATCCATCCTGGGTTTAACCAGGCTGGATTGTGTGAGCAGTTCACAAATCCTTGAAAGATTTGGACAAAGTCCCATCGGTGAGCTCCTCCGTCAGGCAAGGCTGCGTTGGCTGGGTCATGTAGCCCGCATGCCCAGCCACCGCATGCCTAAACAGGTTTTGTTCGGCCAGATAGAAGGGGCTAAACGGGCGTGACAAGGGCTAGAGGAGAGATGGAGTGATGTGGTACAGGAGCATGTGTAGCCAAGTGGACTTTCCGACGACTGGTACCAGCGGTGTCAAGATCGGCCTCTATGGAGGAGGCTCGTGAAGGACGCTGCTACTGGGCGGTTGAAGGCAGTCGCCCTCCAAAAACAACGGAGGGTCGAGGAGCGACGCTCAAAATGAGCGGAGTGCCGGGTGACTAAAATACACCAAGTTGGCACAAAAGGAGGCACAGGTGGTGCATCGGCCAGTCATCTCAGTCGACTCATGGCACCTGTTGGGTCTGTGTTGTGTCCTCCTGCCGGAAGGCGTTCGACACTTCACGTGGCCTCAACGTCCGCATGGTCTGGCACAAGCGCCGTGGTGATGTCACCGACACTCAGTGGCGAATGGCGCTTATTGGTTTGCTTGTCTGTGTGTGTGGGGAACGGCAGTGTAGCGGTCAGCGCTACAAACTCGCGAACCCGGATTCGATTCCCGCTCACGGCCAGCAGCAGTGACAATTATTCGAACCGGTCCTGGGCCTCCCCTAGGTCGACTCAGCCTCAAACGAGTACCTGGTGCGATGTGTAAACATCGCCACTGTGGAGTCAAAGGCAGCCAGGCGTGGTGCTGGCCACCTACCCCCTCGTGTGCCGTGCCGCCCTTCATCACAGGTGCAGCTACTCACTAACAGCGCTTGCCCCAACAGTCTGTTACCGGCTAGACGGGGGGGGGGGGGGGTGGAATCTTGGGTTGACTAGCTGAGGTGACTGGCAGATGCACCACCTGTGCCCCCTCCCCACTGTGCCAACTTGCCCAAATACAAAGATCCTCCGAATAGCCTGAACGGACAGTTGGGCCCCATGAGATTGCATGAAGTGCCACAGGCACATCTACATCTAAAGCAGCAGCAGCAGCTCTTAACCTGGGGTGCATCTCGCATCCCCCTGCCCGGGGCGGGCGGGGGGTGCGAGACGTGGCCAGATTTTATTTCAGAAGGTAAGGGGCCGTCCTTAAATGACGTCACGCGATTTTGGACGATTTTTGACCCCCCCCATTATCGCACGGCGTCACAAAAAATCAGACCCCCCCCTCAAATATGACGTCACAAAGCTCTGCCCCCCCAAAAAAAATATATAAAACACGCTTCAAATCGCTTTAAACTATTGTCATTGTAGTGCGTATTTAATGTGGCGCTGCACTCTGATGTTGTAGGAGAAAACATTTATTAAAAATTCTATTTATTTAAAGTTTGTGCATTTTGATGTGACGTCACATTTCTCAAACCCCCCCTCCCCCGCCATCGTCACACATCGTCACAAATGTCTGACCCCCACCCCCCCCACCAGGTGCGTGACATCATTTATGGACGGCCCCTGAGATTCAGCACGACGTCACAATCGTGACGTCACAACGATGAGCGGTGGCGCAGTGGTTAGGGCACTGCGAACAGTTCCATCACGGACATCGACCGAATCAGCATAGTGAGCCAGAACCAGTCCATCAAGTGAGCCAGTCAGTCCATAAAGTGAGCCACAGTCAGACCATCAAGTGAGCCAGAGTCAGTCCATCAAGTGAGCCAGTCAGTCCATCAAGTGAGCCAGAGTCAGTCCATCAAGTGAGCCAGAGTCAGTCCATCAAGTGAGCCAGAACCAGTCCATCAAGTGAGCCAGTCAGTCCATCAAGTGAGCCACAGTCAGTCCATCAAGTGAGCCAGAGTCAGTCCATCAAGTGAGCCAGAGTCAGTCCATCAAGTGAGCCAGAGTCAGTCCATCACGTGAGCGACAGTCAGTCCATCAAGTGAGCCAGAGTCAGTCCATCAAGTGAGCCAGAACCAGTCCATCAAGTGAGCCACAGTCAGTCCATAAAGTGAGCCAGAGTCAGTCCATCAAGTGAGCCAGAACCAGTCCATCAAGTGAGCCAGAGTCAGTCCATCAAGTGAGCCACAGTCAGTCCATCAAGTGAGCCAGAGTCAGTCCATCAAGTGAGCCAGAACCAGTCCATCAAGTGAGCCAGAGTTAGTCCATCAAGTGAGCCAGAACCAGTCCATCAAGTGAGCCAGAACCAGTCCATCAAGTGAGCCAGAGTCAGTCCATCAAGTGAGCCACAGTCAGTCCATCAAGTGAGCCAGAGTCAGTCCATCAAGTGAGCCAGAACCAGTCCATCAAGTGAGCCAGAGTTAGTCCATCAAGTGAGCCAGAACCAGTCCATCAAGTGAGCCAGAGTCAGTCCATCAAGTGAGCCACAGTCAGTCCATCAAGTGAGCCAGTCAGTCCATCAAGTGAGCCAGAGTCAGTCCATCAAGTGAGACAGTCAGTCCATCAAGTGAGCCAGAACCAGTCCATCAAGTGAGCCAGTCAGTCCATCAAGTGAGCCACAGTCAGTCCATCAAGTGAGCCAGAGTCAGTCCATCAAGTGAGCCAGAGTCAGTCCATCAAGTGAGCCAGAGTCAGTCCATCACGTGAGCGACAGTCAGTCCATCAAGTGAGCCAGAGTCAGTCCATCAAGTGAGCCAGAACCAGTCCATCAAGTGAGCCAGAGTTAGTCCATCAAGTGAGCCAGAACCAGTCCATCAAGTGAGCCAGAACCAGTCCATCAAGTGAGCCAGTCAGTCCATCAAGTGAGCCAGAGTCAGTCCATCAAGTGAGCCAGAGTCAGTCCATCACGTGAGCGACAGTCAGTCCATCAAGTGAGCCAGAGTCAGTCCATCAAGTGAGCCAGAACCAGTCCATCAAGTGAGCCACAGTCAGTCCATCAAGTGAGCCAGAGTCAGTCCATCAAGTGAGCCAGAACCAGTCCATCAAGTGAGCCAGAGTCAGTCCATCAAGTGAGCCACAGTCAGTCCATCAAGTGAGCCAGAGTCAGTCCATCAAGTGAGCCAGAACCAGTCCATCAAGTGAGCCAGAGTCAGTCCATCAAGTGAGCCAGAACCAGTCCATCAAGTGAGTCAGTCAGTCCATCAAGTGAGCCAGAGTTAGTCCATCAAGTGAGCCAGTCAGTCCATCAAGTGAGCCAGAGTCAGTCCATCAAGTGAGCAGAACCAGTCCATCAAGTGAGCCAGAACCAGTCCATCAAGTGAGCCAGTCAGTCCATCAAATGAGCCAGAATCAGTCCACCAAGTGAGCCACAGTCAGTTCATCAAGTGAGGCAGAACCAGTCCATCAAGTGAGCCAGAGTCAGTCCATCAAGTGAGCCAAAACCAGTCCATCAAGTGAGCCAGTGTCAGTCCATCAAGTGAGCCAGAGTTAGTCCATCAAGTGAGCCAGTCAGTCCATCAAATGAGCCAGTCAGTCCATCAAGTAAGCCAGTACCTGTCCATCAAGTCAGCGAGAGTCAGTCCATCAAGTGAGCCAGTCAGTCCATCAAGTGAGCCAGTCAGTTCATCAAGTGAGCCAGAGTCAGTCCATCAAGTGAGCCAGTCAGTCCATCAAGTGAGCCAGAGTCAGTCCATCAAGTGAGCCAGAGTCAGTCCATCAAATGAGCCAGTCAGTCCATCAAGTGAGCCAGAACCAGTCCATCAAATGAGCCAGTCAGTCCATCAAGTGAACCAGAGTCAGTCCATCAAGTGAGCCAGTCAGTCCATCAAGTGAGCCACAGTCAGTTCATCAAATGAGCCAGTCAGTCCATCAAGTGAACCAGAGTCAGTCCATCAAGTGAGCCAGTCAGTCCATCAAGTGAGCCAGAGTCAGTCCATCAAGTGAGCCAGAACCACTCTATCAACTGAGCCAGAGTCAGTCCATCAAGTGAGCCAGAGTCAGTCCATCAAGTGAGCCACAGTCAGTCCATCAAGTGAGCCAGAGTCAGTCCATCAAGTGAGCCAGAACCAGTCCATCAAGTGAGTCAGAGTCAGTCCATCAAGTGAGCCACAGTCAGTCCATCAAGTGAGCCAGAGTCAGTCCATCAAGTGAGCCAGAACCAGTCCATCAAGTGAGCCAGAGTCAGTCCATCAAGTGAGCCAGAGTCAGTCCATCAAGTGAGCCAGAACCAGTCCATCAAGTGAGCCAGAGTCAGTCCATCAAGTGAGCCACAGTCAGTCCATCAAGTGAGCCAGAGTCAGTCCATCAAGTGAGCCAGAACCAGTCCATCAAGTGAGCCAGAGTCAGTCCATCAAGTGAGCCAGAACCAGTCCATCAAGTGAGTCAGTCAGTCCATCAAGTGAGCCAGAGTTAGTCCATCAAGTGAGCCAGTCAGTCCATCAAGTGAGCCAGAGTCAGTCCATCAAGTGAGCAGAACCAGTCCATCAAGTGAGCCAGAACCAGTCCATCAAGTGAGCCAGTCAGTCCATCAAATGAGCCAGAATCAGTCCACCAAGTGAGCCACAGTCAGTCCATCAAGTGAGCCAGAACCAGTCCATCAAGTGAGCCAGAGTCAGTCCATCAAGTGAGCCAAAACCAGTCCATCAAGTGAGCCAGTGTCAGTCCATCAAGTGAGCCAGAGTTAGTCCATCAAGTGAGCCAGTCAGTCCATCAAATGAGCCAGTCAGTCCATCAAGTAAGCCAGTACCTGTCCATCAAGTCAGCGAGAGTCAGTCCATCAAGTGAGCCAGTCAGTCCATCAAGTGAGCCAGTCAGTCCATCAAGTGAGCCAGAGTCAGTCCATCAAGTGAGCCAGTCAGTCCATCAAGTGAGCCAGAGTCAGTCCATCAAGTGAGCCAGAGTCAGTCCATCAAATGAGCCAGTCAGTCCATCAAGTGAGCCAGAACCAGTCCATCAAATGAGCCAGTCAGTCCATCAAGTAACCAGAGTCAGTCCATCAAGTGAGCCAGTCAGTCCATCAAGTGAGCCAGAGTCAGTCCATCAAGTGAGCCAGAACCAGTCTATCAACTGAGCCAGAGTCAGTCCATCAAGTGAGCCAGAGTCAGTCCATCAAGTGAGCCAGAGTCAGTCCATCAATTGAGCCAAAACCAGTCCATCAAGTTCGCCAGTCAGTACATCAAATGACAAAAACCAGTCCATCAAGTTCGCCTCCCGTTCACAGCACAGGCTCCCCCTTTTCCTGTTCGCCTCCTTCCACCGCGATCGTTCCCCCCACTCCTCCCCCACCTTCCTCCCCACCTTCCTCCCCTTAAAGCGAACTCCGCAACATCGCCCACGGCTTTCATTTCGACTGCCCGCGAGTGGAATCTTAACCGAACGGTCTCTAATTCGACTCTGGTGGTGGTGGTGGTGATGATGGTGATGATGATGATGTTTCGTCAGGGTCTTCTCGTGCTGGCATTCGTGTCGTGTTTCGGCTGCCGATCTGAAGCTCGCCTCCACCTGGGTGAGTTGTCCCGAGGGTAAATCATCTTTTAAAAAAAGATGAATTGATGGGACCGGTGCCGGATTAAGCGAGTGCGGCGGGGCCTGCCGCATGATGTTATAAAGGGGCCATAAATAAAATAACAACACGTAAATATTAAAACAACAATGATTAACTTGCATAGTAAAGAAATTGTATATTTTCATGTGCTATACGGCCAGATAATACGACAAATCGCTAACCTCCTTAAACACCCGGTCCTTCATGAAGGTGAAGGCGGTATAGTACTATAGTGATAGAGCAAGTGCAGAATCACTGAACCGGAATTGAGAGCTTGACAGCGTTTAGCGCGGGGCCCTTGAAAGTGCGGGGCCCGTAGCTACTACACATGTAGTAGCTACACGTGTAGAAGTAACAATACACACTACACTACACGTGTAGCAGTAACAATACAGACTACACTACACGTGTAGCAGTAACAATACACACTACACTACACGTGTAGCAGTAACAATACACACTACACTACACGTGTAGCAGTAACAATACACACTACATATAGGAATAGGTTTTACCCTTTTAACTGGCACAAAAACTGACACCTTTATTCAAGGCATCATGTTTGGAATGACCACAACACAAGCAGTCAAAATGCAAACAAAAAAGAAAGACAACTCTGATAATAATATGCACTGTCCTTGAATTTGATTGGTCCACACCCGAGACAGCTTTTCTTACACTACACGTGTAGCTACTACATGTGTAGCTACTACTACTACAGGCGTAGCGGTCGCCATGCGCGTAGCAGTGTCGACTGCGTAGCAGGTCGCAGTCGACACTGCTACGCGCGTAGCAGTCTATTGCTAGCTACTGCTGCTGCTACACGTGTAGCAGTAGCAGTAGCTACACGTGTAGCAGTAGCAGCAGCTACACGTGTAGCAGTAGCAGCAGCTACACGTGTAGCAGCAGCAGCTACACGTGTAGCTACTACTACTTCTAGCTACTACTGCTAGCTACTACTACTACACGTGTAGCTACTGCTGCTACACGTGTAGCTACTGCTGCTACACGTGTAGCTACTACTACTACACGTGTAGCTACTACTACTGCTACACGTGTAGCTACTACTACTAGCTACTACTGCTGCTACACGTGTAGCTACTACTGCTGCTACACGTGTAGCTGCTAGCTACTGCTGCTACACGTGTAGCTGCTAGCTACTGCTGCTACACGTGTAGCTGCTAGCTACTGCTGCTACACGTGTAGCTGCTAGCTACAGCAGCTACACGTGTAGCTGCTAGCTCCTGCTGCTACACGTGTAGCTGCTAGCTCCTGCACGTGTAGCTGCTACACGTGTAGCTGCTAGCTACGATAATCCGGCACTGGCTCTGTGTTCGCCCGTCCAGAGATGGACGGATTGGTTCCTTGTCCACCCCCGCACCTCCGATTGGCACGGTTGGGTAAGTACGGTGCGAAAGAAGTTCTACTTACACTGCACTATACACTACACTATACACTCCACTATACACTAGTGCTATACTAGTACACTCCACTATACACTCCACTATACACTCCACTATACACTACACTATACACTACACTATACACTACACTACACACTAGTGCTGTACTAGTATACTACACTATACACTGCACTACATTATACACTCCACTATACACTAGTGCTGTACTAGTACACTACATTATACACTACACTATACACTAGTGTTGTACTAGTATACTACACTGTACACTACACTACTCTATACACTCGTGCTGTACTAGTACACTACACTAGTGCTGTACTAGTATACTACACTATACACTTCACTATACACTACACCACCATATAGTACACTATACAATACACTACATTATACACACTCCACTATACACTACACTATGCTACCATATAGTACACTATACAATACACTACAATATACACACTCCACTATACACTCCACCATACACTACACTACCATATAGTACACTATACAATACACTACATTATACACAACAATACACACTACACTACTACACACTACAGCGCCGATATTAGATTAAAAAAAATAGATACATTTATTTAAAACTCACCAAACGGAGACCCAGAGTTTGTTGTCCTTCCCCCGCACCTCCGATCGGAGCGGTTGGGTACGTACGGTGTGAAAGAAGTTCAACATTCATACATGGTGTTGATGATGCAGATGGTTCTCCGTGGTGTTCTTGTTCTCGCTTTGGGCTCGTGATTTGAACGCAACTCAACAGCTGTGTTATGTTACCAGCTGTAAGGGGCCCTGACTGAGCTGCGTGGCTCTCTTTTCATTTGTGTTCAGAGGCCACCTGGCCCATCACAAAAATGATGATAGCTCAACGAGGTGGGCTTATAATCATCGTCGTCATCATCGTCGTTGTGTGGAAATCTCTAGCAGCAGCAGCAGCAGCTAAAAAACTCAGAACGCGCGACGTTGATTCTAAACGTGGAGAGAAGTGGAGCCCGACATTGATTGTTCGCTGCTGTAAGATGCTGAGTTTATTATTATTATTCCTTTTGGTCTTACTGAGTCTCAAGACTCCCATGTCAGGAGGGTCTTGCCACAGTTGCAGTCTGGTGCGATGTTGCTGGGCTCCACAGGAGCGAGGAGATGTTAACTACCTCGCCTGGTATGTAGGATGTTGTAGGTTCCATGCCGACCCTGACGCCTGCTGCTGTATATTTGGAGTTTGCGTGTCTCTCATCATCATCAGGGTGGCTATGAAATGTTAACTACCTCGCCTGGTATGCAGGAGGTTGTAGGTTCCATGCAGACCCTGACGCCTGCTGCTGTATATTTGGAGTTTGTGTGTCTCTCATCATCAGGGTGGCTATGAGATGTTAACTATTTCGCCTGGTATGCAGGAGGTTGTAGGTTCCATGCAGACCCTGACGCTTGCTGCTGTATATTTGGAGTTTGCGTGTCTCTCATCATCATCAAGGTGGCTATGAGATGTTAACTACCTCGCGTGGTATGCAGGAGGTTGTAGGTTCCATGCAGACCCTGACGCCTGCTGCTGTATATTTGGAGTTTGTGTGTCTCTCATCATCAGGGTGGCTATGAGATGTTAACTACCTCGCCTGGTATGCAGGAGGTTGTAGGTTCCATGCAGACCCTGACGCCTGCTGCTGTATATTTGGAGTTTGCGTGTCTCTCATCATCATCAAGGTGGCTATGAGATGTTAACTACCTCGCCTGGTATGCAGGAGGTTGTAAGTTCCATGCAGACCCTGACGCCTGCTGCTGTATATTTGGAGTTTGCGTGTCTCTCATCATCATCAGGGTGGCTATGAGATGTTAACTACCTCGCCTGGTATGCAGGAGGTTGTAGGTTCCATGCAGACCCTGACGCCTGCTGCTGTATATTTGGAGTTTGCGTGTCTCTCATCATCATCAGGGTGGCTATGAGATGTTAACTACCTCGCCTGGTATGCAGGAGGTTGTAGGTTCCATGCAGACCCTGACGTCTGCTGCTGTATATTTGGAGTTTGCGTGTCTCTCATCGACATCACGCGTTTAGAGTACTTGAACACTGCTATAAATGTCGACTAGATGACGGTGACGACGATGGGCCTCTGGATTGAGCTTTCATTTGTGATTGCCCGGTCGGTTCTGAAAAAATAGCTACGTAGCTCGGTGTGGTCGTATCTGGTAAAATAAATAGTTTTATTTTTCTGCTGCTGCTGCTGCTGCGTAAGCCCAATTGAGTAATGTGCGGGGAGCTGCCCCCCAAACCGCGGGGCCCTGGACAGTCGCCCCGATTATTATAACCCCGAGGGCCGGCCCTGTTGTGGGGCCGTCCATAAATGACGTCACGCACCTGGGGGGGGGGGGGGGGCGGTAAGACATTTGTGACGATGTGTGACGAGGGGGGGAGGTTGAGAAATGTGACGTCACATCAAAATGCGCAACTTTAAATATAAACAACACGTTCTACTTGATTCAATATAATTGTTATAACAACACTAATTTTTTTATTAATTTTCATTATTAACTATTATATTATTTAAATTTACAAAGGTCACCTTTTATTTATTCCATGAAAGGAGCATTTTGCTTCTCCATCGGAGAATGGAGAAGCATCAATTTAGTTATTCAACATTTTTATTTTAATGATTCTACCAGGGCTTTTCATTCTGTGGAATGAATGTGATTGTTATAATTGTACTCTCCATTTTGCTTCATTCTACTACAGAGTTTCAAGTATTTTTTTATAGTTATAATACTTTTAATATATGATAATTATAAGAGAATTTCAATATAATATTCTGAACATCTGCAGTTTTAGTTAGACTGAGTATTTTCAAGTAAATTTTATGCAAAATTTCAGCTTTCCAACGCCTTTTTAATACGTGTTTTCGCCTACAACATCAGAGTGCAGGGCCACATTAAATACGCACTACAATGACGATAATTTAAAGCGATTTGGGGGGGGGGGGGGCAGAATTTTGTTACGTCATATTTGACTTTTTGTGACGCCGTGTGGCGAGGGGGGGGTCAAACATCGTCCAAAATTGCGTGACGTCATTTATGGACGGGCCCCTGTGCAGAATTACAGTCCGTTCCGTTCTCCTTTTAGCGCACGTGTCGCTTGCATCACTCAAATTGGACGCAGAATGCGATGTTTCTAGTGAACGTCGCACGCACGAGCAGCACTCCATCGTCGCACAAAGGCATTGGGGGTGCTGCTGGATGGTGCTTCGAGAGCAGCGGTTCATCTTAACCCCCTGGGGGTGCCCCACGTCACTCCCCGGGGGTGCCCCACGTCACTCCCCGGGGGTGCACCGCGGAGAACGGCCGCGGTGCTGCTCCCCACGTGGTTGTTTATTTTCAGCTGCCCCGTTCTTGACGATGCCGCCGGTGTTGCGGCTCGCGCAGAGACAAAGATCCCCCGTGTAGCCTCAACACACTGTTGGGGAAAGTGCTGTGAGCAGGTAGCAGCACCTATGAAAAAAGCCCGAACGGCAAACGAGGGGGTGGGTGGCCTGCAATTACGCCCGGTCGCCTTTGTCTCCCCCGTGACGATGTTTACACACCGCAACGGGTGCTCGTTGGCGGCCGAGTGGACCTAGGGGGAGGCCCAGGACCGGTTCAGAGAATCGCCACCCGGTGGCCGTGAGATGGGAATGGAACCCCGGGGTCGCCGGGTTCGTAGCGCGGCATCACGCTGCACCCTCGCACCCCCTCCACCGCAGAGTCTCCCCCACTCGCCCCGCTCGAGTCACGCTTCCACGCGCCCCGCACGCGCCGCTCCGCGCTGCTCGCCCTGCCGCGCTGCCTCGACTTCCTGCTCCCACCGGAGCGCCCCCGGGCACCCCCCAGCGGAGGAGGAGGAGTGGGCGGGGGCGGTGGCGGTGGCGGGCATCCCGCCCGGGTGACGGGAGAGCCCAGCTCGACCCGCTCGCTCCGCGTGGTCGTGTGGGCATCGCCTCGGAGCCGCGGGGACGACGCTCCGCCCGGTGAGAGATGGGGGAGGGGAGGGGTCCGATGGCATCCGCTCGCTCGTTCCTTCGTTTTGGTTTCCACCCTCAAGTTGGACGCCACAGGTGGCTCGGAGATGTTAAGGACCTCGCCTGGTAATCAGGAGGTCGTGGATTCGATCCAGAACCTGAAGCCTGCTGCTGCTGCTGCTGTATGTTTGGAGTTTGCGCATCTCTCTCCATGGTCGTGTGGAATTTTCTCCCGGGTCCTCCGGTGTTTTCCCTGCACATTTTAGAATCGACGTGGTGATGATTACGTGGTGATGATTACGTGGTGATGATGACGTGGTGATGATGACGTGATGATGATGGCGGTGATGATGATGGCGGTGATGATGATGGCGGTGATGATGATGGCGGTGATGATGATGGCGAGATGATGATGAGCCACTAAGTTGAGCTGCTACAATTTGCGATAGCCAGGGTCGCGTCGAAAAAAGAGCTACTCCGTAGCTCGGCGCTTTCGTGTCAGCCGGAGGTGGCTTGGGCTGAGCTCCAAAAAAAAGTCCCCTGGTCCCCGCCGTGATCATTATCACGGTGGGGACCAGGGGACTAAAAATCGCACTGACGACATTTCAACTAAAAATGTTTAGTTGAAATGTTTAGTTGAAATGTCGTCAGTGCGATATTTTTATTTTTTATAATCTAGCGGAGTGTGGTGTATTTTGTCGAAAACCCGGACAAAGAATCCTAGGAATATTTTTCCCATAGCTCGAAGTTTTTGGGTTCGATCGTCGTTAAATCCGCCGCCACCCGACACGGCCAATTTAGTGAGGGTTTGTCACGTGAACAAAACGTGCCAATTCGTTACTCGTACTGGCTGTGTTGGGTGGTGGCAGGTTTACCGACACATTGGTATTCACGCCATCTAACCCCAAAACCTCTATGGATAATATTGATCCGTAAACCTACTAGGTGTTAAACTGAGGAATATCTCTCTCTTTCTAATCTGGCGTGAGTGATGTCCATTCTCAAAGACGTCGGCGGTCATGACCTCTTTTTCCACTTGGGCTCTGTCCATGATATTTACTCGACTTGTTTGCCCGTGGAGCGATGTTAGGCCGTGTCTGTGTCTCTGTGTGTGAGCCATGTCCCTTGCCACCATAACCTTCCTTTCATTAGGCTCTGTCCATGTAGGGAACCACAAAACTCGTTTCTCCTAAAACTGTTTTTTGTGTTGAGTTTGTCCTTCTCCCCCACACCTCCCAATTATTTCTCGGTTGGCTACGTATTGTGTGGAAAGAAGTTCAACATACATACGCCAAAGTGTGCACGACTATGCACTACACCACGATACTCAATTGGAAACTAATTTATTTAGAAATGCTTTGTTGTGTTTAGTTTGTTGTCCTTCCCCCCCCCCCACACCTCCGATTTTAGCACAACTCGCTACGTATGGTGCGAAAGAAGTTCATACGCATGTACATTATTATCATGGATAGGTGGAACTTCTACTTCAGTGGTAGGTACAGTGAGGGAAAAAAGTATTTGATCCCCTGCTGATGTTGTACGTTTGCCCACTGACAAAGAAATGATCAGTCTATAATTTTAATGGAAGGTTTATTTGAACAGTGAGAGACAGAATAACAACAAAAACATCCAGAAAAACGCACGTCAAAAATGTTATAAATTAATTTGCATTTTAATGAGGGAAATAAGTATTTGACCCCTCTGCCAAACATGACTTAGAACTTGGTGGCAAAACCCTTGTTGACAATCACAGAGGTTAGACGTTTCTTGTAGTTGGCCACCAGGTTTGCACACATCTCAAGAGGGATTTTGTCCCACTCCTCTTTGCAGATCTTCTCCAAGTCATTAAGGTTTCGAGGCTGACGTTTGGCAACTCGAACCTTCAGCTCCCTCCATAGATTTTCTATGGGATTAAGGTCTGGAGACTGGCTAGGCCACTCCAGGACCTTAATGTGCTTCTTCTTGAGCCACTCCTTTGTTGCCTTGGCCGTGTGTTTTGGGTCATTGTCATGCTGGAATACCCATCCACGACCCATTTTCAATGTCCTGGCTGAAGGAAGGAGGTTCTCACACAAGATTTGACGGTACATGGCCCCGTCCATCGTCCCTTTGATGCGGTGAAGTTGCCCTGTCCCCTTAGCAGAAAAACACCCCCAAGGCATAATGTTTCCACCTCCATGTTTGACGGTGGGGATAGTGTTCTTGGGGTCATAGGCAGCATTCCTCCTCCTCCAAACACGGCGAGTTGAGTTGATGCCAAAGAGCTCCATTTTGGTCTCATATAACCACAACACTTTCACCCAGTTGTCCTCTGAATCATTCAGATGTTCATTGGCAAACTTCAGACGGGCATGTATATGTGCTTTCTTGAGCAGGGAGTCCTTGCGGGCACTGCAGGATTTCAGTCCTTCACGGCGTAGTGTGTTACCAATTGTTTTCTTGGTGACTATGGTCCCAGCTGCCTTGAGATCATTGACAAGATCCTCCTGTGTAGTTCTGGGCTGATTCCTCACCGTTCTCATGATCATTGCAACTCCACGAGGTGAGATCTTGCATGGAGCCCCAGGCCGAGGGAGATTGACAGTTCTTTTGTGTTTCTTCCATTTGCGAATAATCGCACCAACTCTTGTCACCTTCTCACCAAGCTGCTTGGCAATGGTCTTGTAGCCCATTCCAGCCTTGTGTAGGTCTACAATCTTGTCCCTGACATCCTTGGAGAGCTCTTTGGTCTTGGCCATGGTGGAGAGTTTGGAATATGATTAATTGATTGCTTCTGTGGACAGGTGTATTTTATACAGGTAACAAGGTGAGATTAGGAGCACTCCCTTTAAGAGTGCTCCTAAACTCAGCTCGTTACCTGTATAAAAGACACCTGGGAGCCAGAAATCTTTCTGATTGAGAGGGGGTCAAATACTTATTTCCCTCATTAAAATGCAAATCAATTTAACATACCATTAAAATTATAGACTGATAATTTCTTTGTCAGTGGGCAAACGTGCAAAATCAGCAGGGGATCAATTACTTTTTTCCCTCACTGTAGCACCATATACCGACTAGTAATTATCAGGATTATAATCCCAACCCTGAAGGCAGCTCTTTATTATCAGCGTTTTGGAAAATATTGAGTGAGAAAATTAATCTCCCGCCCCCCATGTGTGTTCACTTTCAATGGTGAGCGGTAGTGGTTGTCCCGCTGCGCTACAAAACTGGCACCCTGAGTTCGATACCCACTCACGGCCAACATCAGTGATGATTATCTGAGCCGGTTCTGGGCCTCCCCTAAGTTGACTCTGCCTCAAATGATTACCTGGTGTGGTGTGCAAACTGGGGAGACGGAGGCGGCCGGGCGTGGTTCTGGCCATCCACCTCCTCGTGTACTACAATGCCAGCTTTCACAGGTGCTATTTACCAACAGCACTTGCCCCTAAAATCTTTTAAGGCTATATACAGGCTTTGTCTTTGTTCACCTTCAGAACTCAACCATCCCGAAACAATACCGGGCTACCACACGGGACTAGCCAATTCAAGCCGCCTATACTACGTGGCCATCCTCCCTATCCCGCCGTGCGAGGTGCAGTGGCCAGACATGGGACGCTCTTCCGCTGTGCCGACAACAAGGACAACATCAATGTCCAAGACCTCATCATCATCTCCAACCATGTCCAAGAGCCCATCATCAGCAGCATCATCATCTACAACTTTATCCAAGAGCTCATCATCATCATCATCAGCATCCTCATCTCCTACCATTGCCACCAACAAAACAAAGACCGTTACAATCTCGTTGCCGCACAAGTCTCACAACGCCACTGAGGCCGTCACCGAGACCGCCAGTGAAAGTGCCGACCTCCCGCGGTTCCTGCCCAACGAGGGTTTGGAAGACGATTCGCCACCCGGCGACGTGGCCGAATCCACCCTGAGCAGAGCCCCGGGCATGCAGGACACGGGGCCTATGAAGGGTGGGGAGGGGGGGAACGTGGGCCGTGGCCCGCCGGAGAAGCAGAAGAAAGGGACCCTTGCTGGGCACGGGCGTCCAAAGCGCCCACAGGAGTCTGATGTGGCGCCGTCGGCGGCAAAAGATGCGGTGGGGAAAAAGACACTTTTGAAAGTGCAAGTCTCCTTTAAAGATGATGACGACGATGATGATGACGATGATGATGACGACGATGATGACGACGATGATGATGACGACGACGACGACGATGATGATGATGACGACGACGATGACGACGATGACAATGAGGAGATGCAAATTGACGACGAACCTCTGTCGGTCAGAAGGGGGAGCAATGTGAAGGAGGGGGAGAAGGTGGCAGCCGGTTCTGCGGGCTATAAATCTTCGAAAGAAAATAGAAAGAATCCCACAGGTGTCACCGTGGCCACTTCACGCGAGGAGCCGAGTCGCCGGAGAGGAGGAAGAGAAGACGAAGAAGACCTGGAATTGTTGCTGATGGAACTCGTACGAGGGTGCCCCGCCACCGCCGCTCCAGGCTCTGCTGGACCTCGCGGAAGCCTCTCGGCTCAACGGCCGACACCACCGGGCCACGCCGTCAACTCCACCACCGGTGCCGACGATCAGGGCAGTGCCACGTCCGTAGGCGCGGCGGGCCCCTCTGGCCGTGAGCAAGACGGTCGGCGCGAAGGCCCTGCGGAGTTGCGGGATGGCGGACGGGCCACGGGTGACGGTGATGGAGCGGGGGGCGGCGGCGGTGGTGGCACTGTGGGTGCCGCGGGCGCCTCGCGTGGACTCGACGCCTTGGTAAGACGGGTGGAGGTGGTGGGCCGGTTGCTGGGCTGTTTTGAGGGCATCGACCGGAGGCTGAGCCATGCGAGGGGCTTTTCGAGCTTCGTGGCGGCGGCGAAGGAGCTGCTGGGGGCGTTTACGGCAAAGCTGAGGGAGGAGATGTCATCGCTGTATGACGGGATATTACTGCTGGCGGCGGGAGCGCAGAACGCCAAGCCGAGTTCGGAGCATGGCAAAGTCGACGAGGGATTCTCGGAACCAATTGGTGATGGGCATGATCATGAGCAACAACAGCAGCAGCAGCGTCACCCGGAAAACGATAATGGGTCCGCGAACGAGACGATGGTTGACTCTGGCAATGGTGACGGCAACGGCAATGGCTCAGCAAGTGACGGTGGCAGCAACGTTCATTCAAAAGGCAACGTAGAGGCCGTGACCCCGTGGACCCGGCAAAACCAAACGTTGAGAACGGTAACCACGACTACAACGACATTGACGACATTGACGACATCGGACAGAGCTCCTTTGAAGGTAGGCCACTCTGTCGGCGTCGAGGCTGCATTCAGCAGAATCCCACAGAGGCGGGAGGAGGAGTCCGTGAGTAACAACTCCTCCATCGAGTCCATCGGCAATGTGCCAGGCTGGATGACGGAGTCCTCGGGAACAACAACAACAACAAGGGGGTCTCACGAAATGTCAAATGGCTCGCCACAGAAGTTGCAACCTTGGCACGACGATTCCCCTAGTGTGAGCCCGCAGGAGGCCTTGGAACCAACCGTCCGCATCTTGGATGCTGTCGGCAACGAGTCTGCTGCCTTCCATGAAGTGCCTAATTATGGGCTGGCATCTCGAGGTGGGAAGGAGTCTGCTGAAGTTGTTGATGACACTGACGACGACAGGGTCACGCCCGCACGAGAGGAGCTTTTGACTGACAAATCCACCGGCGCTTTCAGCGGCGTCCCGGACGTGGTACAACCGGTCCGCGCAAAGTCCCCCGAGGTGCACGCCGATGTTTCCCTGCGACGGTGGCAGATGAACCACAGCTTGGGCGGCGACTGGCGTGCCGAGGCACCTTCGAGCGACGGGCGTTTCGTCTCTTCTTCGGACGGGTTTACGGACGGCGATCCGCTCGCGGTCCCGACGCCAGAGCACCAGGCCAGGAGCGACGTCGACGGCGCGGCGTGCGCGGGCGAGTGTCCGAGCAATGGGACGTCCGGTTCGTCGGGTGGTGCTCCAGCCAGGATCTCCACCACGGGTCGCGAACTCTTAGACGCGCTCGGCATGGCGCTGCATGACCTGACGCGCCCCAATGGGACCTCGCCACACGCGCCGAGCGGCGAGGCGGCGGTATCGCCGAGCAACGTGGCGAGAGCCTTCATCAGCGGCCTCCCCGCTCGGGGTGGAGCAGGGAGGCCGCGTCCAGAAGTGGCGGGCGCCGCCGTTTGGGCGACCGTCGTCTTGGGAGGTGGCGCCCTCCGGCGAGGACGTCCCACCGTGTCCGACCGTGACCCCGCTCGAAGTCTGGCCGGTCCAGACCTCGCGACCTCAGGTCGGGCCAACGTCTCTGAAATGTCTCGCGACGTCCGAGAAGTAAAAACTCCCAGCTTGGTAGAGGAAGCTGAGGACCCACTAGGAGACGGTGATGGGAATGGGACGAACTCCTCTTACTCCGTGGTCAGGTCGCAATCTCCATCCGTTGCGTCCAGCAGAACCCAAGGCAATGCGCATTTGCCTCCGAACATCCTGCGACTCGGTGAGACGTTGGAACGACGACAACCGCAACAACCCCAACAACCCGATCGCAATCCCTCCAGGGTTGGTTTCGGCAAGCCCGCGGTGGATAAAACATCCAGTGAAGGCTCGCGAAACCGACCGAGCGGCACCCAAGAAGAAGACGACAATGACCCGAGCCACCGTTGGTTGGCGGACGCCAAGTCGGGAGTCGGCGGTGGCAAGAATGGCACCGTGACCGCAGGCAGATTCAACGCCAACGACACCGACGGTCTGGGGAATTCCTCGTCGCTCGCGCTGGCCCAGCTTGAGTGGCTTCGCGACGTGACTGGCTGGGCCATCAACCGAATCTCCGCCCTGGCGGGCCGTGCCAACGTGACCCGGGCTGAGGTGATACTGGTGCGGTGGTGGGTGGGCGCCGTTCATCGCGACGGCCCCGCGGAGTCGAGTTGGGGTCACCGCACCGACGGGATGTCCATGTCGGGCGAAGAGCATCGGCTGGCGGAGGTCACGCAGAAGATTCTAAGGCGCCTCCAAGGCCTCCTGAACTCGACGAGGAGGTTGAACGCGACGGATCTCGAGGTCCAGGTCCTCGGCAAGGTGACCGCTTTCTTCTGGAGCCGCGTCACGTTGCTCCTGAACGTGACGGGGGTGAGCGCGGGCGAGTGGGCCGCCCTCGCCAATGCCACCGCGAGGCTGCGGGCATCTGGCGGGAGCGTGGTGCTCTTCAAGAGGCCGCCTGGAGGTGTCGTGGTTGTGGAGGCGACGGCAAAGCTGAGGTGAGGGTGGAGGCGAAACCCGGTCCATTTCCTAATTTTTAAAGATATTTTTTTCTTTCCATTTCTTTTCCTTGTCAACTCGCGCTGACGACGCCGGTTGTGTAGCTCCCGGCGAAAAACGTCTGCACCCGATTTTGTTACAATTGTTGACATTTTAGGTCAGGACGTTGAGAGTATTTGGCTGCTGCTGCTACAAATGTCCACGTGATGACAACGATGAGGCCACTTCGTCCAGCTATCCATTTGTGATGGCGAGGTGGCTTCTAAACAAGAGCTATACAGTTAGTCCCCTTGGTGCAGAAGATCCCAACTTACAGAAAACCGAACTTATGACAATGCTCCCCCATAATTCGTGTTTAAAAGAAGTAAATTAAATCTGCTGAAAATGTTTACGTTCAGTTTCGTAAGCGCAAGTAGTGCAGCGTGGTGAGGTTGCGGATGAACACCGCAGAGCGAGGCGTAAGTTGACCGGGCCATCACAAATGATAGCAGCTCAACGAATCGTCATCATTGGGTGGAAATTGATAGCAGCAGCCGAATACTCTAAATGCGTGACGTTGATTTTAAACGCAGAGGGGGGGGGGGGGGTGGGGGAACCCGACGGACCCTGGGGAGGGAGAGCGAAAGAGCGAGAACGCGCACACTCCACATATACATAGCAGCAGGCGTCAGGGGATCGGGTTTGAAGCCACGACCTCCTGCGTACCTGGCGAGGTAGTTGACATCTCGGCGCCCCCTCTGTGCCAGGTGGAAGGCTCTGGTGGAGCGCGAGATGGCGGGGCGAGCGCCACGGACGGACGACGTCTTCCGCCTGGGAGCCGATGACTGCGCGGACGACAAGTTGGACTCCCGCCCAGGCGAGGGCATGTGCAACCCCTTGCTAGAGGCAGACAAGACCTACAGGTGACGTCCGTGCGTGTGCCCCCCCCCCCCCCTACACTCGGCTCTCCCCGTGGACCCCTGCTCGGTGCGGCTCACCTGGGGCGTGCCACTGTGTAGTGGGATGTTACCTACCTCACCTGGTATACAGGAGGGGCGTGAATTCGATCCCAGGACTGCGTTTGCAATTTGGCTGGTCTGAGTTTGCAATTGGCTGGGTTGGGTTTGCAATTGTCTGGTTTCTATGAGGTTGGTCTTTCTGGTCTATGGACAGAGCTGGTTAAAGACCAAGAGATTATCTTTATGAATCTTATCAGGAATATTGGTGTGGTGTTGGCTGGGCTAAGGGACCGTCCAAAAATGACGTCACGCACCTTGAGGGAGGGGGTTTAGAAATGTGACGTCACATCAAAATGCGCAACTTTAAATAAAAATAAACACGTTCTACTTAATTAAATAGACTTTTATATAAATGTTTTCTCCTACAACATCAGAGTGCAGCGCCACGTGAAATACGCACTACAATGACAATAGTTTAAAGCGATTTGAAGCATGTTTTTTTTTTGGGGGGGGGGCGCAGAGCTTCGTGACGTCATATTCGAGAGGGGGAGGTCTGACTTTTTTGTGATGCCGTGTGACTGGGAGGGGGGTCAAAAAATCGTCCAAAATCGCGTGACGTCATTTATGGACGGCCCCTAAGCCAGACTACAAAGCGCACTGGTTGAACACTTCTGGGATCGGTTTCTCTTACACTCGAGTGCAGCTCTCCCTTTGTCTGCGTTACCTGTAGTCCGCTTGACGTGCCTATAACTGCACGGTCGAGCTCTCTCTCTCTCTGTGTCTGCTCACTTAGGGTCAACATGTTCGTATTCGAAGGGAACTCTGCCGTTGCTGAAACGGGATGGACAGAGCCTCTCCACACCCTGCCAAGTGAGCCCTTGCCCCTCGCCATCCACCATACATTAAAGACAAAGATCCCCCGTGTAGCCTTCACAGATTATTGGGGCAAGTGCTTTGAGCAGCAACGGTGAAGGCCGGCACTGTGGCACACGAAGGGGTGGGTGGACAGCACCAAGCCCGGCCGCCTTTGCCTCCCCGGTGGCGATGTTTACTACACACCGCACCATGTACACATTTGAGACTGAGTCGACCTAGGGGCGGCCCAGGACCGGTTTAGATAATCTGTCACAGGTGTTGACGGTGAGCGAGGATCTAATTCGGGTCGCCGGGTTTGTAGCGCAGTGAGCTAACCTCTGCACGACCGCTTCCCTACTGCACCATCATTGCCACGCTGATGGTCACGAGCGTCTTGTGCTGTAGTTGTGTCCATTGGACGCTTCAGTGGAGTCCCCTGCACTTGACCCGAATCGTATCTTGAGCTAAACCAAAACGGGGGGGGGGGGGGGTACTTGCACCTTTAACTCAACCTGCACTTGACCCGAACAGTCTCGTGAGCTATACCCACACTGGGGGTGCTACTTGCGCCGTTGTCTTTGCCCCCCCCAAGTGCGGTCCCCTCTGACCGTGCCCGAGCTGCGGCCCGCGCGGCGTTCTGCCGCCATGGTGGCCATCACCGTGACGCTGGCGCTGCTGTCGTCCGCCCTGGTGCTCGCCTTCGTCGCCTCCATTGGCATCCGGAGGAGGGAGGACGAGGAGGTGGAGGAGTCTCCGTAGAGGCCAGGACGGAGCCGCCGGGGCCACTCCAACCACCGCTGCCGACAAATCCTGGGTTTGACTTTGGGTTTTCGACTCATCGGTGATTTAAGCTGACCGTCTTGAGTTGTTGTGATTTGGGTTCACTGGATGACGGTTGGACTCGGCTGGTCTGGCTTCTTCCTTGATGCTGGGGCTTTGTTGCATTAGGCTGCATGGAACTTTTGAGGGCTGGTATGGTCTGATTTATAGTTTTGGCTGGGCTAAGATTGCAATTAGGTGCCATGGTGGCGAGATGTTAACTCCCTCGCCCAGTATACAGGAGATTGTGGGTTCGACCCCGACCCTGATACCTGCTGTATATTTGGAGTTTGCGTATCTCTCATCATCAGCATGGTGGTGAGATGTTATTTACCTCGCCCGGTATACAAGAGGTCGTGTGTTCGATCGCTACCCATTACGCCTGCTGTATATTTGGAGTTTGCGTGTGTCTCTGTGGTCGCGTGGATTTTTCTCCAGGTTCTCCGGTTTTTTCCCCTCCACATTTTAGAATCGTGCGATGTTAGAGTATTTGGCTGCTCCACATTTCCCCGTGATACGCCACTTCACTGAGCTGCCATTTGTGGCCAGGTTGCTTCTGAACAAGCGCTACATAGTTAGGTGGGCCTTACCTGGTAAAATAACAATAATTACGTTTTTAGTTAATTTGGCTGGGCTGAGTTTGCAATTGGCTAAGCTGATTTGAATCTGGTTTCTAGAAATGCGGTCTTTCTGGTCTAAGCAAAATCACCGACATAAACAATTTTACGTTACCAGGTAAGGCCCTCTGAGCTATGAGCTTATTTTTCAGAAGCGACCACCTGGCTATGACAATACGATAAGCTCGACAAAAGTGGCTTATCATTATCGCGTGGACATTTATAGCAGCAACATGATTCTAAATCTTCTTTGGTTCTTTCGGTAAAGTCACGTAGAATGAGAATAAAATAATAAATTGATAAAATAAAATAACACAATAATATTCTCACTTGTGATCAAATAAAATAACACAATAAAATTCTCATTCTACGTGACTTTACCGAAAGAACCAAAGAAGATGAATCCTTGCAGTCACGAAAGCTTTAAATCGAAATGTATGATTCTAAATTGTCTAAAACAGCTTGTTTCCAATCCAGGGATGGTATATTTAAAGTACTCGGTGAATGCCCGGCCTCCTGAACAAATATTCGAAGGTCGCCCAACACCGGTGTGTGTGTGTGTGCGCGTGACGCTATTCACCTAAACTATTTAAAAGCTACGTTTTCGTGTCACCAGGTGAGGCCCAAGCCCTGAGCTGAGACGTTTTTTTTCAGAAGCGACATGGGCGTCACAAACGATGGGGCTCAACGGACGAAGTGGCTTGTCGTCGTCGCATAGAAATTTATATCAGCAGCAGCCAAATACTCAACGCGTGACGTTGATTCTAAATGTGGGGGTTGGGGGCAAACCCGGAGGACCCGGAGAGAGAAATCCACGCGACCATGGGTAAAGCACGAGCCAGAGATGCACGCACTGCAAATATACAGCAGACTTCAGGGGGGTCTGGCTCTCACCCACGACCTCCTGTATACCAGGCGAGGTAGTTAACATCTCCCAGCCACCATGGTAATAGTGATGATGAGAAAGAGACGTGCAACCTCGTAAATATACAGCAAACGTCAGGGGGGTCTGGCTCTCACCCACGACCTCCTGTATACCAGGCGAGGTAGTTAACATCTCCCATCCACCGTGGTGCCCACGTTTACCAACAAACTCTGGAATTGGTGCACAGCGGTTAGCGCACCACGCTACGAACCCGACAGAGAGACCTGAGTTGGATTCCCGCCCACGGGCACCAACACCAGTGACCATTTACCTGAACCGGTCCTTGGCCTGCCCCTAGGTCTACTCCGCCTCAAATGACTACCTGGTGCGGTGCGTAAGCCTTACCACGAGGGAGACAAAGGCGGCCGGGCGTGGTGTTGGCCAGCCCAACCCCTCGTGTGCCGTACCGGTCTTCATAGGTGCTCGCTAACAGCACTTGCCCCAACAGTCTGCTCAAGCTATATGGGGGATCTTTGTCTTTGGTGTTCATGGAGAGCGGTGGCACGGTGGTTGGCGCACTGCCGTGAACCTGGCGACCAAAGGTTCGATTCCCGTTCACGGCCACCAACACCACCACCAGTGACAATTATCTGAACCGGTCCTTGGGCCTCCTCTAGGTCGACTCGGCCCCAAATGAGTACCTGGTGCGGTGTGTAGTAAACATCGCCACTGGGGAGACAAAGGCGGCCGGGTGTAGGTGCTGATCACCCCCGTCCCCTTCGTGTGACGTGCCGGTCTTAATTAGGCATTCACTAACAGCACTTGCCCCAAGTCTATGAAGGCTGTATGGGGGATCTTTGTTTTTGTGTGGTGTTTTTTTCCACTGTTGAATGTTTTTATTCGTAACAAGTTCACTTCGTTTTGGGATTTTTGCTGAAACGGTTAGAAACTGAATTTGTGACATTTTGTAAATAAATAAAAAATTGTCTTGGTTTGTAGTTTATCCAAGCATTGCTAATGCAGCTGTGTGAGCATTGGTCTCGGAGTGGTTCAGTGTGTGAAATCTATCGATCTGTGTGAGTGTGGGTCTATGTGTGTGGTTCAGGTGTGTGAATCTATAGATCTGTGTGAGTGTGGGTCTATGTGAATGTGTGGTTCAGTGTGTGAAATCTATAGATCTGTGTGAGTGTGGGTCTATCTGTGTGGTTCAGGTGTGTGAATCTATAGATCTGTGTGAGTGTGGGTCTGTGTGTGGTTCAGGTGTGTGAAATCTATAGATATGTGTGAGTGTGGGTCTATGTGAGTGTGTGGTTCAGGTGTGTGAATCTATAAATCTGTGAATATGGGTCTCTCCGAGTGTGGTTCAGTGTGTGAATTTATAGGTGTGAGTATGGGTCTCTCTATGAGAGTGGTTCAGTGTGTGGATTTATAGATGCGAGTATGGGTCTCACTATGAGAGTGGTGCAGTGTGTGAATTTATAGATGTGAGTATGAGTCTCTCCGAATGTGGTTCAGTGTGTGAATCTATAGGTGTGAGTGGGTCTCTCTATGAGAGTGGTGCAGTGTGTGAATTTATAGATGTGAGTATGAGTCTCTCCGAATGTGGTTCAGTGTGTGAATCTATAGGTGTGAGTGGGTCTCTCTATGAGAGTGGTGCAGTGTGTGAATATACAGGTGTGAGTATGGGTCTATGTGAGTGTGGTTCAGTGTGTGAATCTATAGGTGTATGGGTCTCTCTATGAGAGTGGTTCAGGTGTGTGAATTTGTAGGTGTGAGTATGGGTCTCTTTGATTGTGGTTCAGTGTGTGAATTTATAGGTGTGAGTGGGTCTCCGAGTGTGGTTCAGTGTGTGAATCTATAGGTGTGAGTGGGTCTCTCTCCGAGTGGTTCAGTGTGTCAATCCGTAGATCTGCCGTCTCCTTGTGTGGACGTTGTTGAAGCCGTGCAACAACTCCGTCACCAATGGATCGGCTGATGCGGCCCAGACCCTTGCGTCGGGAGTGGCGGAGGAGTCGCAGATCGCCGCCGTGACGATGCCTCCCCTCCGAGTGGGGGGGCACTGAGCCTAGGAACCTCCAAACCGACTGCATCATCAAGAACCTGGTGTTACAAATCCCGATGCCCTCTCTGCTCGAACCCTACGACCTCCTGCAAACCATGCGAGGTAGTTAACATATCTCCATCGTGGCGAGATGCCCGATGGCGTCCACCCGTTCCTTCGTTTTGGTTTCGGCCCCGAAGTTGGATGCCACTGGTGGCTAGGAGATGTTAACTACCTCGCCTGGTATACAAGAGGTCGTGGGTCAGATCCCGACCCTGACGCCTGCTGTATATTTGGAGTTTGCGTGTCTCTCTGATCATCACGGTGGCTAGGAGATGTTAACTACCTTGCCTGGTATACAAGAGGTCGTGGGTTCGATCCCGACCCTGACGCCTGCTGTATATTTGGAGTTTGCGTGTCTCTCTGATCATCACGGTGGCTAGATTTTAACTACCTCGCCTGGTATACAAGAGGTCGTGGGTCAGATCCCGACCCTGACTACAAACGACTGTACTCAGAGAGACTAAAACACCAGTTCTCTACAAACGACGCTGCTTCTGTCTGGAGAGGGCTCAGGCAAGTCACCAACTACAAACCCAGAGCCCCCCACACCACTAACGACTCCCGCCTAGCCAACGACCTGAACGAGTTCTACTGTAGATTTGAAAGACAATTGGACTGTCCTGAACCACCCCTTCCAACCCAAGAGGCCCCATCCCCCACCAATACTACAGAGACGACTATCTCCTTTCAGGAGGGAGAAGTTAATAGACTTTTCAAGAGGCAGAATCCACGCAAAGCAGCCGGGCCGGACTCTGTCTCTCCAGCCACCCTCAGGCACTGTGCTGACCAGCTGTCTCCGGTGTTCACCAACATCTTTAACACCTCCCTGGAGACATGCCATGTACCAGCCTGTCTCAAGTCCTCCACCATCATCCCTGTGCCCAAAAAGCTAAGGCCAACAGGACTAAATGATTACAGACCGGTCGCCCTTACATCTGTGGTAATGAAGTCTTTTGAGCGCCTGGTCCTGGCACACCTCAAAGCCATCACAGACCCTCTCCTGGACCCCCTTCAGTTTGCCGACAGAGCCAACAGGTCTGTGGACGATGCAGTTAACATGGCCCTCCACTTCACCCTACAGCATCTGGACGCCCCAGCATCCTACGCCAGGATCCTGTTTGTGGACTTCAGCTCTGCCTTCAACACCATCATCCCTGCCCTGCTTCAGGACAAGCTCTTCCAGCTGAACGTGCCATACACCACCTGTAAATGGATCACAGACTTCCTGTCTGACAGGAAGCAGTGCGTTAAGCTGGGAACACAAGTCTCTGACTCCAGGTCCATCAGCACCGGGACTCCTCAGGGCTGCGTCCTTTCCCCTCTGCTCTTCTCCCTGTATACCAACAGCTGCACCTCCAATCATCTGTCCGTCAAACTATTGAAGTTTGCGGATGACACCACCCTCATTGGGCTGATCTCTGGTGGGGATGAGTCTGACTATAGGTGGGAAGCTGACAATCTGGTGACCTGGTGTAGCCAGAACAACTTAGAGCTAAATGCTCTAAAGACAGTTGAGATGGTTGTGGACTTCAGGAAGAATACAGCACCACTCAACCCCATCACCCTGTTAGACTCCCCAGTCAAAATTGTAGAGTCCTTCCGCTTCCTGGGCACTATTCTCTCCCGGGACCTCAAGTGGGAATTGAACATCAGCTCCCTCACCAAGAAAGCTCAACAGAGGATGTACTTTCTA